TATGCTCCCCCACCTCTTGCATAATGGAACTTTTTTCTTTCTTCTTTTTTCAGAATGTAAATCTTTATAATAAACTTTCTTTTTCCTGTAATCCTTCAACTGCATTAGTAATCTGATTAATTTTTTATCTCCGTTTTCTTCCCTAGTTCCTCTGCTATGTTCGCTGGCACTGGGTGGACAGTGAGCTTAGTTCTGTGCTTATGGCAGTTCAGATGTTGCACACTAGTAGCAGATGAAACTGTTGTGATGGGCTGATGTGAGGGTGTTTTCCTTACACATTGATCTGAATAATGAGAAAATAAATGGATTGGTGCTGTTTCTAGGGAGATTTGATAACTGTGGTTTTGAGATGATCTTTCTGTCAGGAGAATTCATAGAGGCTTAGTAATTTTGATGGAGATTGTATATGATTAAAATTATTTTGAAGCGTGCCATTATTTTCCACATTTAATCTATAATTTTCTTTACAACAATGTCTTCTGTTTTTTGGGGGGGAGGTTGTGTGGGCAGCATGTGCAGTGGAGGAGTGTGTCAGTGGAGGCTTCCACTCATGTTTGTATTATATGTATTGTGAAGTCATGACCTCCATCATCAGGCAAGGTGCTACTGTACAGCTCTTCAAAGTGCACAGGTAGCTGCCATTTAAATGTGTATCTTGGTTGCCCTGAATGCTGTGTGTCTGTAGAGCCGTCTAGAAGACTTTGTTAGAAATACATATTTTCTTTCCCCATAAACTGTAAAATGCCTGAAAGTGAGACAGCTTAGAATATTTCTCCTTGTTAAAATTAATTCAGTTTCTCCTTGAGAGGCCAGTCTATATAAATTCTGAAATATTGATGTGATTTCTATTTTTAATTTTTTTTTTAAGTTGATGCTTTTCCTCTTGAGTTATTTAACAAATATTTGAAGTTGCTGTTTAGGAAAATACATGTAAATTGTTTTTTTGCAGGAAACAGGAAAGAAATATGAAAATGTGTTTGTGTCTTTGTTGAGATGAATTGTATTTTTCTCTCACTTTTCAAGGCAAATACCATCTAACTTCAGAATTTTTATAATACTCTGCAAAATATATTTATGTACTATTGGTTATAGGTGACAGCTCTATTGATCTAAAAGCTCACTCAGAACAATCCTGAATGAATCTTCAGTTTGTATAAAAATGGTATTTGCAATTTTCATTAAAACTCACAGCGAAAAAAGAAGAGTAGGAAAACACAAGTTGGCTTCAGTTCAGAAACTAGCTCTGATAGTTTAATGCCACAAACAAATTTGGTCTGCAACTCAGAATATTATGATCGATAGTAAAGGATGGATTCACATTCTTCATCCTTTGCCTTCAGTAGACGGGGATGTGTGATACAGGTGGTGCCATGTGACATGGATGAGTGTTTCTCTGGAAGAACCGGGGTTTACTGGAAATGCCGACTGCCCGAAGTCATGGGGTGTATTTCTCCTGTGCTTGCGGAGCCATCATTTCTCTGCTGTGCTTGCCAACAGGGTGTGTGTTCTTGTGGAGTGATGTGTAATCTTCTCCACCAGAATATGGAAGCATAACTTCAAGAAGTTTTTAGCCTTTAGAAAAAAGAAACGTGTCACCTATCCAAAGTTAAACGGTTGCATGTGGCAGAAAAATGTTCAAATGTTTTCTTGAAAGTCTGCTAAAATGGGGAATACAGTGTAACTGGGGAGAAGTCAAGCTGATGATGATCTATTCCCTTTTCTCTTGCAGCTGGAAGGGTTGAAAATGAGCATGTTGATTTAAAAGCAGTTTGTGGATATGGCTTGTTGTTTTCTCTTTATTTGAACATTAAATACTGCTGGAGAGTACAGTATGTGTACATGTGCAAGGGCAGCATTTCTGTAAAGTTCTTCAGTGTTGTAATCCTAGTTTCTGCTTCAGTGGGAATGACTGGAAACTTTGGTGAGGGTGAAACTTAGTCCTAGAGAAAATTAATTTATCTTAATTTATTAGATCCTAATTAAGATCCATTAAATGAATCTTAAGGTCAGGGGATGTCTTTTATGTCTCTACAACTTATGGCATGTGGGTGGTCTGTTCCCTGTGTGAACATTTAGGTTCAGTTTAATAAAAGGAATAATAATAACAAGCTCATATGATCTCTTCTAATGCTAAAGGACAGTTGTGAAGATCTTTGTGAAGATTTCACACTCTGCAAAAACTGTGTGCCATACTCTTTGAGAGTATGGACAGGTCTTGGGAGTGTTAAAAGCAGAGGGAGAGAGCTCTTTCTGTGTCACGACTCCTGTCAACTCCTTCTCTGAGTTGGTGTGCCAGGAGCTCCCAGCACGTAGTAGCAATTAATCTTAGCAATTGGCTTAAGAGGTGGAGGAGGAGAATGAAAAGAAGGAGTCAAAGTGAGATGTTCTTCGTGAATCCCTGGTGGGAGAGTGCGCAACACTCCTGGAAGCAGGCTAGCCAAATAGCAATTCAGTTATAAAGTGGAGGTCTCAGTTTCAGCCAACGTTGATGAATTTGTCCTGTTTCTACAAGGGCCTAAAGTTGAGTCTGCAAGGAGCTCATTAATACCCTGTCCAGGTCTTTTCAGAATCAGAGTGCAAAGCTCAACACAGCAAGGCCATCTGGGGAGTGCTGAAGACTGTCTGCATCACACATGCAAAACAAGCCTGGTCTTGATGTGCTGGTGTTATAGTCATTCTGCATGCCGTTATGCATATGACTAGATCAGATAGGCTTGGCGTTAGATCTATTGTGCATTACCTTCCTGCTGTCTTTCAAAGCATAGACATTGTCATTTGAGTATGAACTTGCTTGACCTTCTCTGTAAATCCACAAGCATCTCACTGATGTAAATTATTCTGATATTACCACATCCTTTTCTTATGAATGCGAGAGTCATGCTGAGTTTGACATGTTGCTCGGAAATCTTAAGTTTTTCTTTTGGCGGTGTAGTATAAAGGTATAGTTCCTGCCCAGTAACAGTGCTTGCTTTATTGAGAAGAGTGGACATCTGGATGCACTGACAATTTTTCATTCTGATTTTGCTTTCCATGGATCACATATTCAGCCTACTTTCTGAAAAGATGCAGTTTATTGGAAATGGTTAAAATTTTGAAACAGCATTACAAGTTTATGCATGTAAGCTAGCAGTTACAATGTCTTATGCGCAAACAAAATTTTTCATGCCCATCATATACCATTTGTACCTTAGAGAGGTCTTGAATTATAGGGGGGAAAAAAGGAAAGAGGAGGAGAAGAAAGTGGCAATACTGAATCTAGGTATTTTTTTTCATCAGAAAACACTAACCTATTGAAGAAGCGACATTTTTATAGGAATGTCATAGGTCAGGGAGAACTTTCTTTGGAAAAGATTCCATGTATCTAAGGTTATTCTCTCTTTTTGCCTGAAAAATGCTCTTTTTGCATGAAAAATGACAATTAAAGCCCTTGGTCTGGCTTCCTTTTGCAATCCGTGCTCGTAAGTGAATACTGGCTGTTCTGCTGCTGGACCTGATTCATACTGTGTAAATTCTTTACCAGAACAGGAACTTAGAGCTGGGTCATCTTCATACTGGGTGAGTGGTCTGGCCACGTGTCTGTAGGCAGCATCTCTGGCTCTGTATATGTTTATGAAGACTGCGACAAGTCTTGTAAAAGAAACAGAGAGATCCTGATGTCCACAGCAGCCTGGGCAATCACCTGAAGTATTTAAGAATTGGGAGACAGGGGGATGACAGCTAAAACCTTTAGAGTGGATCTTCTAATAATTGGCTCCTTTTCACTGAGAAATGTCATTTAAAGGGGTTTTTTTTTGTTTCCGTTCAGAATGCACTCTTTCTTTTAGGTGTGGGATTCACTATGTTGTCTGCCTCTCCTGTCCTCCACATTTGAGCAGAGCTCTTGAGTTTCATTTCTCACCAGCTTTATCTATAATTATCTTGTGCTTTTATGTGTTTCCTAGACAAACTGGCTCATAAATTGGAAGTCTGAATGAAATTTAACTTTAGTTTTCAATCCTGAGTATTGCAGTGGTCAGGAAGATGTTTTGCCTGAGTCTTGTTGGCAGACTGTGCATGTAAAGGTATTTTTTTCCCGCCTTTTCCTCAGCCTAGCATGAGGTGACAATGGAAAGTTTCTTTTCCTCTTACTGCTAACAATCCACATGTTGATGCCTGATAGGAAAAACAATACGCTCAAGGTTACCATATTTTTTGTATGTATACACTGTGGGTTATCTCTGGCTTGAGAGTTTTGTTTGTTTTTAAATGCGGGCCAAGTCAAATCCTGCGGTTTAGCAGCAGTGTGCATTGTGTGTGTAGGGATAACAGGAGAGGAGTTTTTTCCAGGGTTCCTTCCTCAGTAGTATCCTGGTCTCTTGTGGCTTGTTTGCTTTGTGCATAGGAGTTATCTGTGTACTTTTTTTAAAGAACTTTTTAAGGCCTCCAACTTACCTGAAGCAGAGGTTATGTATGTGCAAATACAGTGCTGTTATTCTAGGCCTCTGGGATACTATTGCTCTACAAAATATATGGAGGCTAATAGCAGTGGCTGTTTCGTGATGTGCCATGTACTGTTTGTTACTTTGGGACTATAAAACCTGATTTGCTTGTCAGTCTACGCAGACCTAGTACACAGCAAACAACCCATGTAGTAAATCAAGGTGCCATGCACTCACCACAGCAGTCATTTTCAAACAAAATATGTGTCGTGTTCAGTTAGGAGAATGTGTGCTAAATATCCCCATTATAAATCACAACTCAGAATCACAGAAGAGTGATTAGTCAACTTACAGGTATTTTTCCATTTATATTGCCCTGTAAAACTAAATAATTATTTTTCATTCCTTTATCGTTGTTGGTTACAAGATCTATTGACTTGGGGTTTACCAGGAGCCAGTAACTTTTCATATTGTAGATACTTTCCGATTTCTAATTGTATTCTACAGAACACAAAAGCAAGATAAGAGATTTATTTCTTTTTCATTTTCCTCCACTATCCCCCATTTCCCTTCTTTTCACAGAATATCTCCATGCATAACACAGTTGGAGGAGCAATGGCAGGACCTGGATCTCACCAGCTGACAAATACAAGGATGCCAAACCACGACACCAGCGTTGTGATTCAACAAGCCATGCCGTCTCCACAGTCCAGTTCGGTCATTACGCAAGCACCTTCCACAAATCGACAGATTGGGTAAGTTCATTTCTGTTTTCTCATTTCTCTGGTTTTCTGGCTCTGGCAACTGCATGTGGGACCAGATGTTGTCCTCGTGGTTCTTAAGGTTCAGCTGCATGCAGGACCAGATGTTGTCCTCGTGGTTCTTGAGCTTATGGGGAGCTCGTACTTGATCCTGCCAGCGTGCGGCAAGGACCCCTGCAACACGTGCTGCAGACTGTGGGGGAATGGCCAGGGTACTACATCTACTCCAGACCTGGCACTTGGGTTCAAAAGGGGCAGAGTGCTGTACTTGCAGGGAAGTCCTGCTTTCTCCTTCCAGTTTTTTGGTTTTATCTGCTTACATTCAAAGTTCATGTTTTTTCTGTAACTGCTCTAGGAAGAAAGACAGAGTATTTCTGAACCTGATGCTTTCACTTCCTTCAGTGGGAATTCTGGGTGCTCAGTGGCAATAGGCTGTTTCCTAGGTACTCTGTTTAATTGAGGAATGCGAGAAGACAAAATAAAAAGACCATCAAGATAAATGGAGTTTGGCACAGCCACCTCTGTGAGCAGTTGCTCAATTTGTGATGATGGATCGATACTTATTCCCATAGATTGACAATATGGATGCTTATCATATTGGCTTGAATGCCAACTGTGTGCTCGTGTTTGGATAACTGCATGTACAAAAACATGCGTGTCTTGTACACTTGGTTACTTCCAGCAAACCTGAGGTCCTTATAAGTTACAGTAACTTTTTTTTAATTATACAGAAACTGCCCAGCTGGTTTGAGGGTACAGTTTTTTTGTTGCACAACTCTGAGAATTTGGGGGGTTTTATGCATGAAAACATATGGATAAAAAGATAGATCAGTGGACTGAGAATGAAGCAGCAGTCTAGATTCGTTATCTGTCATTTGTAATTTGGTCACATCCATTATATGATAAGTGCAAAAGCAGTCTCTGTCCCCAGTCATTGCCTAAATAATTGATGAGCAACTTGCAGTCTCTTCTGAGTAAAACCAAAAAGTGAAATCCTGGCAGTGAAAACTCAAAATCCAGTTTTCTTTTAATATTTCTGGTGGCTGGGGCAGGATGTGGACCACAGGCTCACTGTCTCCCAGTGCTGTGGTGGCAGGGATGGCTCATGGCCCGTGGCACTGACCGCTCTGTAAGGGTCACCCAGCCACGCACAGGACATGGATTCCATCCACTGCCCCAGTTTTGCGCTCCTGGCAAAGCTCCTCTACTTTCTTTTTTATTACAGTTTCAGGATTTGGTTCTTAATATAGAAATCTGATAGTATGTGTAAGGTAAACATATTTGATGGATGTGCCTTTGTATGTGTTACAGATTGACAAAACACAGTGTTCACTGAGATTTCATGTTCAATACCATTTGCCTCTGAATCCAAGAATGAATCCAAGAACGTCCCATTCTCTTCAAAGACAGGGGGCTGGGATAGAGAAAGAAACAGTTTTTCAGTTTTAGAAAGAAAAACAGCTAATGCCATTGTTTGGGTTAAGGATGATTAAGCTTCTGTTCAAATTGTGACTTAATAGGTTTAGTGGTAATTATGATCCTAATTAAAACAACAAAAAAAGCCCTAACAACTTTTAATACTCAGTGGTGAAGTGTGTTATATGGGACTGTACTTGGCTTCCAACCCATTGTTTCTATATAATGAGAAAAAAAATCCTGCATGTGGTTTTGCAAGACCCTGTCAGTCAGGTTTTAGGTTTGCGTTGGTTTGGGGCCATGGTGATTAGAATCTCCAGAGTTTGAGGGGTTGAGGATAAAAAGGCCTATTTCTTAGACAGTGATGAGCATCTCATTTGGGATACTTTGTCATGACATATCTTAATTCTCCCCTGTGTCTGAATCACACAAATGCTTCCGAAGTCCGAGCCTAAAGCTGCGCTATTGGGAGGCAATTGTCAGCATTTTAGTCTGCGTGAGATGGTGTGTGAATGAGACTTATGGTGTGACCTCCACCATACTCTGTTCCCCATTCTTCCCTCTTCTGAGGAGGTTTTGTTTTTTGTTCATGGTGTGTCCTAGGAGATAATTGCTGCGTTTTGGACTTCATCTACTTGCCAAAGTGTGGAGCATCCTAGTTGTTTGTCTTCTTTTCCTTCAGTCTTTTCCCTGTGGTGCTTGTTTTATTTGTTCAAAGAACATATCTTGTCATTTCCATTTATCTTCATCTTGTCCTTCCGAATGTGCTAAGAATTATATCCAGGACTCATTCATGAGGAATACAGACTGGACAATGGTTTCGGTATTAGGCAACTGAAGAAAAATCCAGATGAATTCAGAAAATGTTTGAGTTCTGCAAAGTTTGGTGGGTTTGATTTGGCCTGACACAGTTGAGATGGTTCAGCTTTTTAACAAGCCCACTTTCTGAGGTGCTCAAATCAGTGGTTTTGGGTTGGGTTCCCCCCTTTTTTAAAAACATCTGAAGCTGCCCTGAAGGGTAGATGAGTCTTCACCATGGAGAATTGTGCCAGGGAATATGCCTTTTAATAAGCAATAAAAACAGCAGAGAGCAACTGAGTAAAACTCCCATTGAGCTAGTTCTGTAGGAGCAGGATCAAGCCCTAAAGGTTATATAGAACCATCTTGTAGCAATATTCTGATTTTTATCACAACCACAAATATTTTAGTGTCAGACTATGGCCAAGCCACCTGCAAATGTTTGTGATGGCCTTACTCCAATGAAAACAAGGAACAGCAATGAAAGTCTTCATTTAGACCCTGCTTGTAGGCTGTGCTCCAGCAACAGAGAATGGGACCCACCTGTGCCCGCACACAGCTCGTTCCATGGTGAGGAGTGGGTGAGTTCACAGCAGCTGGCGTTCCCGAGGGATGTAATTTTTCCCTACTTTCTTCTCTCTTTCTCTTTCCCTCCCTCCCTCCCTGCCTCTCTCTTTTTTCCTATCCCCTCCTCTGGGGGCTTGCATGTAAAATTGACACAAGGCATGGGAAAACATGACCGAATGATCATTGTTGGGCAAGCCTTACTGGCACGGTGAATATACACACATTGTTTCAGGTATTAAGCTTCAGCTACTACCGAACAGGCATCCAGCCAGATTAATCAGAAAAAGGGAAGAGCATGAAGGTTAATAACTTAAAAAATAAGACAGGGTGCAGTCCTGCTTTCCTCCCACCATGTACCTGGTTGAGAACAAACAGCAACATTATCATTACAGCAAACTGGCAGGCTGGTATAAAGGTCCCAGATAGTATTTTTGTGGTGAGGCAGTCTCTAACCTCCTTGCAATCCCTCCTCCCTCCCCCCCAAGCCTTTAGCATGTGGGAGGAATGCTGTAACTAGTAACTACTTGTGCTGATGAAAAATCAGTTGAGGAACACTTAGCAGTGAAGGGTGTCTTTGCCTGATTAATAGCAGATCATTTAGAGATAAGATACATGGAGGAAGGGGAGAAAAAAAAATGATAGCAGACATACATCTGTCAAAGGTATAGAAAGGCAGATAAGCTGAATCAGCTCAAGATACAGGACTCTGAACTAGGCTGTACAATAGCAGTGCTTCTTGTCTTTTTGTTAAAATAACTCAATTTTTTCAATGACTGGGTATTCAGCAATGTGCGTGAAAATTATGGTCAGACAAATTGGTGACAACACAGTACACTGGTTGCTTTATCTGGACATGTCTTTTGCTAGGTAAGATGTCTTTTTTAGACCAGCAAAGGCTGTAGGTGGCTGCAGCCTAACAGCTCAGCTTTCCTGGAGATAGTAACCTGCTGATGTTTTTCAAGCTAGTAGTAGACGTAACTAGTAATTATTCTGGCTTGAAACTCGCTGGTACAGCTCTGTAGCCAAAAGTGAACACAGGAGGATTCAGGGTTGTCACAGGTCCAGCAAGTTGTTAACAAAGTACTAAATGTAGAGGGAGACGTGAGTCCAGTTTGAGTGAACTCAGGCTCCGAAGTGGACATAGCGCACTAACCATGTGATGTAGATTATCTGTTTTACAAGTGTTGTAGAGCATTTTAATCAAGATAAGATGATCTACTGGCACAGCATCAGAAGGGAAAAATTGCAACCACATTTGGTGAAATGCAAGCAGGTAGGAGAAGGCAACAAGAGGGATTTGAAAGATGCCTTTGATGCGTTTATGTACCGAAGAATCACGGTACCAGTGGAAGGACAGCCTTTCAATCCCCACATGCAGCATGTATTTTAACACCTATGCATTTCCTTCCTGTTCTTCTGTCTTCCCTCTCATGATGCCATATGTCTCTCTCTGCTTCCAGTTTATCATCTCTTTGTGGGGTTGAATGCTTTACAAACAGAGGAGCATGGAAAATTAAGTGGCCGTGAAAACTGCATGTAATGTGTTCAGTGCCACAATGAAGGGCAGACTCATTGTGACTGGCCTTCGGGATTTGGAAAATGAAAAAAACTTCTCAGCTGTAGTCTTAATCTGAGGGACCCAAGATGGCAGGAGGACAGGGCTCCTCTCTGGCAAGCCCAGGAGTTTTGTCATAGCAGCAAGCTATCTGAGACTGCAGCTGCTGGTTGAGTTCTCAGAGTATCCTACTATCATCCTATATAGCTTGAGTAGACGGAAGAGACTCCTGTAAGAGATCTTCATGGGCAGAAACTCTTCCATAATACAGCTAGTTCTGGAAGACGCTTGGAATAGGCTGGTAACTCAGAAAGCTCTTTGTACATGCCAGAGAAAGTCTTTAAGCTCCTAGTAAGTTGGAGGAGTGTGTGGCATCAAAGAGGCCGTAGAATGATGTGCTTTTATTAAATTCAAAGACCAGTTCCCTTCCCAGGAAATCTGGGATAAAAGGCTCTGTTCTAACCCATGTATTTGAACTGAAGCACCACAGTATGTTGTGAGATGATAAGAAGTAGGCAGTGAGAGATGAAGTATCAAATGACCTCTTGGTTACTTGATCAGGTCCAGTCTGTAGCCGTGGTTGCACAGGATGCAATAACATCAGTTAGATCACTGGAAGGGGAGGAAAAGGGAGGGGTGGGAAGAGAGAGCATCTGAC